ATATATATATTTTGACAGCTATTATTCTTTTAAAGCAGGAAATCAAGGAACAACCAGTCAGATCATTTCCACACTTTGTAAAGGCTCTCAGAGCTCTGAAATGTAAATATGGCAAACTGTTTCAACTAAAAATCTTAAATTTGTTTTAAACATGGACACTTTGTACCAAAACACCATTATGATTTAAAAAGGGGGAAAAATAAATAAATAAAAACTCCACGACCAGTGTGAGTGCTTATTTAGCAACAATTTGTAGAATGCATTCTCTGCAGGTTTATGTTATTGCTTCAGTCAGGCCTAGGAAAAACAGATTCAATGTAAAAATGATCAAATGAACAGAAAGCAGAGATTAACGAGGCCAAGGTGGGAATTGTGAGTCAGTCTCAAATTAAATGGGACTCAAAAGTTGCTCATAAATCAAAGTTACTTTTGTAAAACTGTACAGGAACATAAAATTAAAAAGTTCACTTTCATATGGTTGTTTTTATCATTGGCTTGTATGAAAATAAAGCTTTGAGTTCATTTTTGAGTAAAAAAAACTATTGACTTCAATGGGAAGTTTGTCTCTAAGGCAGAATATGATCCTTTTCTGAAAAACAAAAGGCTTTTAGTAGCTGATAATCAGGAGTCAAACAGTTTCACCACATTTAAAGATCACACTGACTGAAAGCAGAGCTCCATCTTCTCTCCATCTGTGGCGACGCACACAAATACTGCTGCTTCACAAAACAGGCTCTCTGTTGGTCAAAATCAAGGCGCTGTGGGTGCAAAAACAACAGTCAGGAGAGGATGAACACAAAACTTTGCTCTTGAATGAGGATTTTATCAAATGCAGCGATCAACTTCAGCACTGCAACTCTCTGCCTTGGTTCTTTTACCTCGCGGCTCAGTCGAATGGCAGCGTCAGTGAAAGCCTGCCGCTCTTTTTCAAAAGTAGTCCTCTGATGGTTCAGCTCTGCCCACGACGTCTGAAGACGTTCCCATTCTTCCAAAAAGTACGAGTCCGACAGTTCGAGGGGGAGAGGAGAGACCAGGCTGTTCTAAATAAGATAAGATGATGTCCAACTTGTACACAAACGCATTCATATTAAATCACTTCCAGTCAAACCTGCAGAAGTTGCTGCTGCATTCTGACGAGATGCTGACTTTCTTTCAGCTCCGTTTCTAGTTGAACCATGAGTTTGTCGTGGTCCGTACCAGCAGCAGTTCGACCTGCAAACACACTTTTTTTTTTCCTTTTTGTGGTGTCTGAACCACCGGGCAAATATGACATCAACTTATGCAGAATCCCCTCTGAAGATTTAATGCAGAGTTTACCTTCACAAAGGTCCTGCAGTTTCTTCTGGACCTTCCTCCAGCTCTGAACAACTCCTCCAGTCACATGTTCACCAAGAGATGTCTCAGTTTCATCCAGTCTTGTGTCTCCTGGTCGTTCCACATCCATCGTCTCCATCACAGACTTAAATATTGAAGAAAAAAAAAGAATAAATAAAAAAGAATAAAACTATAAGATTTGAGAACCTAAAATAAAAAACTACATCCTTGGATTCAAACGTACTGGAACTTTCAACTTTTAATCACCCACTGCCAAAAAATATAGGGAGGAGAGTGTTTTGTAAGTGTCCATCCATCCATCCATCCATCCATCCATCCATCCATTTTCTTCCGCCTATC